AACATCCCATGGATGGCCAAAAGAACAAATACGCTTTGCAGAGGGCGCAGCTAGAGTGCTCTTTGGAGGCAAGGATGATGAAGCTTTGCCTCACACACTTCAGGAATGTTGCCAGGAGGGGCTACTCTTTGGAGAAGGACATGATGCTTGGAACGGTGGAGGGTCAGTGAAGGAGAGAAAGACCCTCGACCAGGTGAACTGACATAGTGACTGCCACAAAGGGCTCTAGTGTGTTAGAAAGTGTGAGGATAGCACAGGATAGGACAGGCTTCAGATCTGCTATTCATAAGGTCATGATGAGTCATAACTGACTCAGCAACACCTAACAACAACAACAACATGCAAATGAAGAAGTAACTATAGACTAGGTAACATGAAGTGACTATAATCCAGCAAGGGATTCAGTCAGCTGGTGGTCCTGCTGGAAGGGCCAAGCCCTGAAATTGACAAGGAGCGTATTATAGATGCAGCCAACTCCAGAGAGGTTTCAAAAAGAAGAAAAGGGCAAGCAACAAGTGAGACAAGAAGACATGAAAAAAGAAGTAAGTAACCTCCTAAAAGTCGTAGCACGGCTCAAGGGCTATAACATTTAAGACTGGGAGCAGCCTGAAGAAGCCTGGTGGCCAAGCCAGTGGCCACAGTCCCTAGAAGGGACCCTGGGGTAGAGCTGGTGGGGATGGCAGAATCTGCTGCCAGGAACACAACTAAGACCGCTGATCAAACCTGTTATGCTGGCTATGAGCTGGATCCATTAACAGTGGGAGGCCGATACTAGAGAGGCTGAAGTCACCTGTACAAGTGAGAGAGGGCACGCACCACGGCTCAAAGGCACCTGTCTTGAAAAGGTGAGAGGAAGTTTGCACAGCCCACAAGCAGAGGTTCGCGTAACCAAGAGAAGGTCTGAGGGGCCTGAAAGGAGACCTCCACAGCTGGGGTTATGCATGGTCGAAAGAAGGGGATCCTGCACTGAAGAAGGGAGAGACGTGTTCTCTGCTTCCAGGAAGCCTCCCAGACTTTGCCTACCTGCTTCCTGATCCTGAATTGCAGCTTGTTGAGCCTTTTCCTGCACTGCAGCCTCCTGGTCCTGATCCCAGGTTGTAACCCTGTTGCCTCCTGACAGCACATCAACAGAGAGCTGCCAGCTGTGCAGGCTGGGTTGAAAAGAGGCCGTGGTGCTAGAAATATTATAGCTAACGTTAGATGGATCTTGGCTGAAAGCAGAGGAATGTCTAACAGTGTTTCACTGACTATGTGGATCACAACAAAACAAACTATCACAAACAAACTGCCCACTCTGAGAAGAATGGGAATCCCAGAACACTTGATTGTGCTTACGCAAAACTTTTACTTGGATCAGGAGGCAGTCATCAGAACAGAGCAAGGAAACACTGAATGGTTCAAAATCAGGAAAGGTGTATGCCAGGGATGCATCCTGTCTCTACACCTTTTCAATCTGTATGTGGAACAGATCCTCTGGGAGGCTGGGCTCTATGAGGAGGAATGTGGTATCAGGTCTCATCAACAACCTGTTTATGCAGATGACATAACCTTCCTTGCTGAAACTGAGGAGGGCCTGAGGCATTTGCTGCAGAAGATCAAGAACTGCAGCCTTCAATATGGACTGAAGCTCAACATCAAGAAAATGAAGATTCTCAGCATTCTGATAGATGGTGAAGACATTGAGATAGTTAACAGTTTTAGTTTGCTTGGCTCCACATTCAACATTCTTGGTACCAACAGCCAGGAAATAAAAAAATGAATTGCATCGGGAAAATCTGTGCCCAGGGACCTCTCCAGAGTACTGAGAAGCAATAATGTCAGTCTGGAGATTAAGGTGTGCCTGATCCAGGCCATGGTCCTCACAATTACTTGCTATGCATCAGAATGCTGGACAATGACTAGGAATGATAGAAGGAGATTTGATGCCTTTGAACTGTGGTGCTAGAAAAGAGTATTGAATATACCATGGACTTCTAGCAGAACAAACAGGTTCATCCAAGAGAGGGTGAAGCCAGGCTGCTCCTTGAAGGTAAAAATTCTGAAGCTCTGTCTGAGATACCTTGGGCATGTTGCAAGGAGGGACCAGTCCTTAGAGAGGGACATCAGGCTTGGGAGGGTAGAGGGACCAGTTCAAGAAGAGGAAGACCCTGGATGGGATAGATTGACTCAGTGACTGGGGTAATGAAGATTGGTGTGTCAGAGACAATAACGTTGGCTCAGGATAGAGCAGGGTCACTATGAGTCACAAACAATTTGACAGCACTTAACACCAAGAAGCAGCATGGTTTGTTGAGGCCATTGCAATGAATGACTAAACCTAGCAGAGAAGTAAAGTATCACCGAGGGCATAAGCGAGATGACTGTAGTAGAGGTAGTAAAATAGCTGGAAGAGTGAAAGCATATCTGACCTCCATCTCACAGCTTTATGTTGACCAGGTCGTTATCCTGAAGAAGTCCAAGCAAGTTTTAGCACTCTACGGACATATAATTCCCTTGTGTTATTGGGTGGACTTGACTAGGTCACAAGTGCAAAACATTCATCGGGGCACTTAGCAAGGCCATTTTGCAGGAGGGATACTGAAGATCTTGACAGAAGTCAGGTGAGTGGCTCTCTATAGATGACATGACAGTTAAGGCAAAGAAAATGAAGAGCATGGCCAAGAGTGATGCAAAAAGAGATAACAGCATGTGCAAAGGCCCTGAGGCAGGAGAAGAGACCAAATATGTTTTAGCAGGTGGAGGTTTGCACAGCTGGAGGAGTAGGCAAGGTGGGAGGGAGAAGGGTCCAGGAATGTGGTCTGGATGGTCCAGGGACCACGGGAGAGTCCTGAGAAGGAATGTCAGAAACAGTTCTCTAAGGGTGTCAACATCACAGAGAAGAAGACTTGAACAGGCTGAGCAGAGGGAGGAGCCAATGAATGACACCACGATAGGTGAAAGTCAGACGGAAGCATGGTGGAGGGGAGTGAGAGAGAGAGATAAGGACAGGGGACAGGCTGGTAGGGTCCGAGCACCAAGGTGAGGGACTCTTTCTTTTCCAGGAGACAAGGATGGGGGTGTTGTGAATAGAGGACAAAGTCAGATTTGAAAGTCAGAAACAGGGAGTGGGGCAACATAAGCAGAAGTGGCTGGGGCCCTAGAGATGGAAAAGGTGGCTCAGGTTCCAGAAACTTCAGGTGGATCAACCTGCAGAGGGACTCCCAACTCCATACACTTCAGCTCTTCTCTGACTTTGTTTCCTTATCCTCAAAATAAGCTCAATGTCCCCCTCAGGGAGAGGGTGCCCCAGAGGGCACTGAGGGGAGTGATCACAGGTAGGGCTGTAATGAGATCCTCTCTGAAGTTGTTTTTGTTGTTAGGTGTCATCAAGTCAACTATGACTCACAGCAACCCTATAAACAATGTATCCCTACCTTGCCCAATCTTGTGCCATCCACATCATCTCTGATATACTTGAACTCATTGTTACAGTCACTGTGTTGATCCATCTCATCAAGGGCATTCCTATCTTTCACTGATCGTCTGCCTTTCCAACCCCTTTCTAATAGAATCCTCAAAATATGTAAGACAAAGTTTCACCATGCTTGCCTCTCAGATGTGTTCTGGTTGCACTTGCTGTAAGACAGACTTGTTTATACTTTTGGCAGCACATAGGACAGTCAGTACTCTTCAACAGTACAATTCAAAAGCATTGATTCTTTTTCTGTTACCCTTATTCATTGTCCAAGTTTCATACGCACAGCAAGTAATTGAAAAGACCATGATTTGAATCAGATGCACCTTAGCTTTTCTTTTAAACTGACATCGCTGCTTAATACCTTGGAGAAGTCTTTAACAATGGATTTTCTTAATGCAACATGTCTTTTTATTTCTTGACTGCTGGTACCAAAGGTGTTGATTGTGGATCCAGGTAAAATGAAATCTTTGACAGTTTCAATGTTTTCTCCACTTCTTTCAAATCTCCTGCCCCTCCAAGAGGACCCCCAACAGCTCCTCTGAGAAAGCCTCATGATGGCACCTCAGATCCTCCAAAGATTCGGGAACATGACACCAGAGTCGTCCAGAGAAGTCAGCCTGCAGACACTGAAAACAGGCTCTGGGATAGAGACCCTCCCATTTCACAAAGATCCTCAACTTCTCCAAGAGCACCCTGTCTTGCAAAAAAGGAAAATCAAACCCACTGCTGCCAAGGCAACATTGATCAACGGTGACCCCAGATGAGACAGAGTAGAACTGCTCCAAAGGATTTACCTGAATGTAATCTTTACAGAAGCAGAGAGCCAGGTCTTTCTTCTGCAATACTGCTGGGTACATTCAAACTGCCTTTAGATTAGTAGTCAACCACAAAACCTTTGTGCCACCCTGGGAATAAGCAGCATGTGGAGAGTACAGACCCTTCAGAGCCCCTAAAAGTCCTTACAGACTCCCAGGCAATTCTTTAATAACTGCCAGGAGTCCTTGAAGAGACCCTTTTCTTGTTGTATGCTATCGAGTCAAAATCTACTCATAGCTAACCCTCCAGTGGGTTTTCAGAGGCTGTAAATAGCAGGAGAGGAGACTGCCCATCATTTTTCTGTGGAGCAGCTGGTGCACTTGAACCACCTGTCCCTGTCATGGCAGTGCAACTCATTACCATTAGGCCATCCCCAATCCCCCCCACCCCCAGTTTCTCAAGCAGCCCTAACTAATTAGAACCCCTGCTTGCTCCCAAGTTCCCAAACTGCCTCCCAGAGTCTGCTCCTCAAGCCACCTTCTCCCAAGCAACCTTAATGCCCCAAGCATCCTTGAACCTAATAACCTTCTTCAAATGATCCTCCCAGATTGTCCTCTGCAATTCCTCAAAGAACCCCAAAGACCTGTCCTCAATCCCTGGCCACGTCCACAGTCCCTCAGATCCCTCCAAGTCACCCCTCAGTACCCTACACTTCCTCTCCCCCCAGCCCACGCGCAACCCCATCATCCCTCGACCCTAGCCCGGGCCCAGCGTCTGCCCCACTCACAAGAGGTCTCGCTTCGCGGTCTTGCAGACGATGCGCAGGTAGCGCCAGCCGCCGCCGCCCACGTACACGCCGAGCGCCGCCGCCGCGCTCCATGTCCACGGCAGTCCCAGCAGCCACAGCAGCGCCAGCGAGGCCACCGAGGCCGCGCCCGCACCGGGAGACCGCATCCTGCAGAGCAGAGGAGCGGTCAGGCCGCGCCGCCGGCACCCGGCCCCACCCCCAGGACTCCGCCCCCGTGTCTCCCTCAGGATCCCGCCCTCAAGCCTGCGATTGGCTATTTCTTTAGCCCCACCTCCGGATTCCAGCTCCAGGCTAATCCGCGGCCTCTCCGCCGGGTTGTTGACGTAAACTAGACCCCGCCCCCGGACCTGAGATTGGCCACTTTCTCCGGCAAAAATCTGCACCCAGGCCCGGGCTCAACCAGCAGGTTTAAACTCCGGGCCGAAACTAGGCCTCCCTTTCCGGATCAGTCACGCCCCTAAGCCTGGGATTGGCCAGGTCCCCAGGCACGGCCACGCCCCTGAACCTGCATCCCTTCCACTTTGGGTCACACGCTCGGCCCAATCGAGGCCGATCATTGGAACAGCTTCTATTCCGTTAGTCTCCATGCCAGACATCCACCTTTATTTTTTTGTTCTTGTTGTGTACCGTCAAGTCAGATCCAACTGGCACAGGAGGAGATCGCCCCTCCCTCTCCTGCGGAGCATCTGGCGGATTCGAACCGCGCGCTTTAGGGATTGCAACGCAGCTTTTTGCCTTTAGGCCACCAGAGCTCCCCCATTAGTTCCATGCCAGGCTCCGCCCCCTAATTTGATTTATACTCTATCTTGGGGGTCAAGCAGCAGCTCTGCAATTTGGCTCCGCCTCCCCACGACTCACTGCACCCCCCCCCAGGTCAGGCCTCTGACCCCACCCACAAACGAAACCCCGCCCCAGTATGGCCCCGCCCCAATACGGCTGTCCCGGGCCCCGCCCTCCAACGTCCGTCTTGTCACCAACCTCTGAACCTCACATAGGACCACTTGACCCCCCCCCCCCCCCACTCATGCCATCCTCAAGGCCCTCCTCCAAACTCACGGTCTCTCACACTTGCCACCTTTTTCTGGAGGTAGGGACCATAGAGACACCCCTGTGCCAGAGACATGATGGCTTGGGGCTTGAACTGCTGGCACGTGTGTGTGTGTGTGTGTGTGTGTGTGTGTGTGTCCATAGCAACCAAACTTGTGCCTTCTCAGAGTCTTGCAGACACACGTGTCCTGAAGGCGGCTGGAGTGGCTCGTGGGCCTCCGCGGCCTGAGAGCCAGATGGCAATTTGGATTCCTGCCTGAGGGATCAGAAAGTCCCAGTCCACACCCATGACTCGCCCAAACTGGATTCTTGCATCAGCTTGTTCAAAATCTAAACACCAAATGCATCTCCTCTTAAATACACGTTCCAGGGTGTCAAGAGACTTACACTCCCACCCAGGGACCCTCGTACAGTGTCCTTACTGGTGTCCTAACTTTTGGGATCACTCACACCCCATGTGGGCCTAACCCCATACAGACTGGATAGAATCTTTGGTAAAATTTATTACAAATTTTAATCTCGTAGATTAATCTGAGATACAGTTGTAAAGCAATCAAGCGTACGTACTATTTCTTGTTCTTGTTACTTACTGCTGTCAAATTCGGTAGGACTCACAGCGATCCTATGAATATCAGATCTAAACCCTGTTCTATCCTGTGTCATCCTCAGATCTGACACTCTGGAGCCATGGCTAAAGTCACAGTGTCAATCATCTGCTTGAGGGTCTCCCTCTCCTAGGCTGTTCCCCCTACTTTTCCAAGCAGGGTGTCCTCCAAGGAATAGCCTCTCCCAGCAACATGCTCACAAAGTATACAAAATGAAGCTTTGCCATCCTTGACTCCAAGGAACATTCTGGCTGCACTTTGCCCAAGACATTATCTGTTTGTTCTTTTGACAGTTGTTCTCCAACACCACAGCTCAAATTCCCACCACCACACAGAGTACAATATTTCTTAGATTATGCATGAAGAACCCAATGAATGACCTCCTTAGGGTTTCTAAAGCTATACACCTGAACAAGAGCAGATAGCTCCATCTCCATCAGCCACAAAAGAGTAGTTGAGGGTTTGAACTGCTGAGTTTTTGGTTAGCAGCCAAAGGCTTAATCTATTATGCCGTTATAGAAATACTGTATTGTTGTTAGAGTTAGAAATTACTTACAACTGACTCTCCAGAGGGTTTTCAGAGGTGGTAAGTTGCAAGAAAGGAGATTGCCCTTTTCCCTCCCATGGAGCAGGCTAGTGGATTTGAACCGCATGCTTTTGTGTTGGCAGCCCAGCTCCTTACCATTAAGCCACCAGAGCTCATTATATGAATGTTGTTGTTGTTGTTATGTGCCGTCAAGTCGCTTGTGACTTATAGCCACTCTATGCCACCCTATGTACAACAGCCCTAAACCCTGCTCTATCCTGTGCCAATCGCACTGCCCCTGACACACCCATCCCGATTACCTGTCACTGAACCAATCCAACTCATAGAGGGTCTTCCCCTCCTGCACTGTCCCTCCACCCTCCCAAACATGATGTCCCTCTCCAAGGACCTGTCCTTCCTTACAACAAGTCCAAAGTATGTCAGACGAAGCCCCAGAATCCTTGCCTCCAAGGAGTAGCCCGGTTTAACCCTCTCCAGAATGAATCTGTTTGTTTTCTTGGCAGTCCATGGTACATTCAATACTCTTCTCCAGCACCACAGCTCAAAGGCATCAATTCTCCTTCTATCCTCCCTAGTCATTTTCCAACCCTCTGATGCATAACAAGTGATTGCAAAGACCATGGCCTGTATTAGACACACCTTACTCTCCAGAGACACACAGTTGCTCTTGAGTACTTTAGAGAGGTCGCTAACAGCAGACTTTCCCATCGCAATACGTTTTTTTATTTCCTGGCTGCTGGTGTCAAGAGTGGTGACCATGGAGCCAAGCAAAATGAAGCTGTGAACAATCTCAATCTCTTCGCCATCCATCCTGATGCTGCCAATTGGTCCAGTGGTGAGAATCTTTTGCCTTCTTGACATTGAACCTCAGTTCATACTGAAGGCTGCAGTCCTTGACCCTCTGCAGCAAGTGCATGAGGTCCTCCTCAGTTTCAGCAAGCAGGGTTGTGCCGTCTGCATAACGCAGATTGTTAATAGATCTTCCACCAATCCTGACGCCACACTTCTTCTCATAAAGCCCAGCCTCTCGGATAATCTGCTCTGCATACAGGTTGAAAAGGTATGGAGATAGGACACATTTCTGGTGTACACCCTTCCCAATTTTGAACCATGCTAGTGTTACCCTGCTCTGTTCTGACGACTGCCTCTTGGTCCAAGTATAGGTTTCGCATTAGCATGATTAAATGTTCCGGGATTCCCATTCTTCTCAGAGTCAGCCACAGTTTGTTGTGATCCATGCAGTTATGATTATGTTATGATTATGCCTTTGCATAATCAATGAAACACAGATAGACATTCTTCTGGTATTCTCTGCTTTCAGCTAAGATCCATCTAACATCAGCTACAATATCCTTAGTACCATGACCCCTTCTAAACCCAGCCTAGACTTCTGGCAGTTCTCTGCTGATGTGCTGTTCCAGTCATTTTTGGATAATCTTCAGTAGAATCTTGCTTGCATGTGAAATCAACGATATTGTTCTGTAGTTTCCACACTCTGTTGGGTCACCCTTCTTTGGAATGGGAACAAATATAGATCTCTTTCAGTCAGTTGGCCACGTGGTTGTTTTCCAGATTTCTTGGCACAACTTCGTTAGCACATCCAGGGCAGCATCTGTTAGCTGAAGTCAATTGGTATACCATCTATTCCTGGGGCCTTATTTTTTGCTATTTCCTTCAAAGCAGCTTACAATATCATTATATGAATACTAAAAGCAAAATGGCCTTTTAAAAGGTTTCTATGGGGGAGCTCTGTTGGCCTAGTGGCAAGAAGCTGCACTGCAATCCCCAAAGTGCATGGTCTGGAGCAAGCAGATGCTTTGCTGGAGAAGGAGGGACAATTTCCTTCTGTACCAGTCAGATCGGATTTGACGGTGCACACACACAAAACTTTTTTTAAAACAATTTAAAAATGCAAATTTTAAAAAAAGGTTTTGATGTTGAATTGCAACATTATTAGTAATTGAGTTGGGATCTTTTTTTATGTTTCTCTTCCTTTAACTACTACATTTTTTAAAAAATTAGTAATATGTTGTTATTTACCCTTGAATCCAAACTGACCCTTAGCTGATGCTCCATTGGGTTTTCAGAGGCAGTAAATAGCATGAAAGGAAATTTCCCAACCTTCTCCTTTAAAGCAGCTTGTGGATTTGAACCGCATACTTTTAAGATTACAGCGTAACTTCTTACCACTAGGCCACCAGAGCACCCATGGGTCACTAATGTTAATTACCACAGCATTGTAGCCAAAACACCAGAGAATTTTACAAACTCTTTGACTACAAAAATGCTAAAAGTAATGAAAACAGGGATTGATTGTAGCTGGGTCAAGTATCATTGTAATTGGATAATTGGGTCATAATGACAACTCTGCCCCCATTGCATTAACTCACTGCCATCGGGTCCATTCGAAGGTAAAGAAACCTTCCCTGGGTTTCTGAGGCTGTCAGGCCTTAGAGGAGAACACTGCCCATCTTTCTCTCAAGTAGATTCATTCCATCCACATCCACCCACTTTTTGGTTAGCAGTCCAGTACCTTGTGTACTATGCAATATAAAAGGAGCTCGGGTGGTCTAGTGGCAAGAAGCTGTGCTGCAGTCCCAAAGGCATGCAGTTCGAGGCCACCAGCTGCTCCAAGGGAGAAGGATGGGCAATCTCCTCTCATGCGATTAACTGCCTCTGAAAACCCAGCAGAGAGTGAGCCATCGGTTAGCTCCAGCTCAATGGCACACAACAACAGTGTGCAATATAAAGTTAGAAAAGGTAATTAGCACAGTTTTAACCTTCTAGGTATGTGGATGAACTCTGGTAGCAGGCATAGTGAGTAGGGAGTTGTGTTGTTAACTCAAAAGCTCAAATCTGAGAGAGTTCTAGTGGCCTAGTGGCAAGAAGCTGCACTGCAATCCCAGAGGTATGCAGTTTGAATCCACCAGATGCTCTGCTGGAGAAGGAGGGGAAATCTCCTGTACCAGTTAGATCTGATTTGATGGTATACAC